TTCCCAAAAAGGACTAAGGCTTGAATTCATGCAATGAGTCATGAAATATAGAATTAAAATAAAAGGTGCTTCAGGATACACTTCAAACTGAAACTTAATGCCCATATTTGATACAGGTAAACTTTATTTTGGGGTCCTCTTTCCTATTGAAAAATAGGAAAGTTCTGGAGTATGGATTTAAAAAAAAATAATTCAGGGCCTTAAATTTATGAACAACTGTGCATTAGAATTATGTCATAAAACCAATGATAGCTTTTCCTACAGAGAAGTGGAACTGTAGTCTGGAAATATTATATAAAGTAGGCTGTAATTTCTTTTTCTCTCATGGGAGAGGTAGTTAGTCATGTTAGTCTGAAGTCAAGCAGAAGGCAGGCAGGGTAGCATAAGCTTTCATAAGCAACAGCCCACTTCATAATATCTAATAGGCCTGTGCAAAGCGTCTGTTATTCGCTTTGGGTTCGGATTTGGATTCAGCAGATTCAGGGGACAGCGATTCAGTTCGGTGATTTGAAACACTGTCCGGATTCGATTTGGCTGAATCTGATTCAGAGATTCAGCTGCTGCTGAATCAGCCAAATCTCCGAATCACATAGGCCCCATATCCCGCCCAGTCTCCCAGCCCCAGCAATGGCTGCCCCACCTGCCCCAGCTCCTGGCTCTTTGGGGAAAAAAAGCCCACACTCACCAGCTGCTGCCAGGTGGAGGGGGCGAACCCCACTGCCCCCCACTGTCCCACCCTATATGGGGGGCTCTGTCATGACCCTCCGACCTCTCCCCCCACTTTCCTAGCCCCCCTGTGGCTGTCCTGCTCCGCCCAGCTCTGGCCCTTTAAGAAACCCCCCCAAAGAACCCTGGACTCACTGATTAGTGCCAGCAGCAGGGCAATCCCCACTGCTCCCCACTGTCCTGCACTGCGTGGGGGGCTGTGCATGAGCCCCTAGAAGCAACTGCTGCTCTGATTGGGCCCCAAGCATATTCCAAGGCCTAGATGCAGCAAAACACTTAAACAGATACTTAAAGCTCATTGCTTTTATGGGATTTAAGCCTCCTCTTGCCACTTTGCAGCTTGCCATGAAGGACAGAAAGGACAGATTTGTACTGCACACAAAACAGACCAGGGGTCATTTGTTGTCTTGTGTCCTGCCCATAACGTCTTGGGGGAAATAATTTACATCCCTTTCCTTGGGGCATAGTTTACCTCTTTCAGTGCCTTTCTTTAAGCTTGAGAGCAGTGCCACTGAATTCCATATGATTTGCTGTCACCTGCAGCATGAGTTCAGTTGCTCTATACCTTTCATGGAGTTCAGTTTTGTAGCAGGTGATAGCATGTATAATTACAGATAAGTTAGTAGGTTGTGACTGGTAGTGATGAGATATTAGTCTGGCCAAGTGCTATAGTTGCCTAAAAAGGTTGCAAATGGCTGTATTAAAGAAAAAACCTGTGAGCTCAATAAGCTTACTGGGAAAGCAATGAGCGCAAAGTCTACACTCCAGTAATAATAGTAAAGTTAACAAAGCCTGCCTTACACTGGTCAGCAACATTCACCACAGTGTTGAAGATTTATGCAAAGCTTTCTGGAAAGGTCTTATTGGTGGTTTATCTTCTAAGGTTCTTTTTTTTTAAATCACGCCACACATCTCAATGATTTTCTGTTTATGAATAGAAGTAGGAATAAGGTGGAAATAAAGACCTTTATTCATTCTATTCTTTTTGTATAACTTTCTAACTCAGAGGCCCCCTCCAGATATTACATTTGTTGCTGGTTGTGACCATCCCACTTGGGGGGCGGGGGGTTAACATGCAGGACCTTTGGGCTAGTTATCCTGTGATAAAAAATGGCAAACCAGTGACACAGATGTTCCACATCTGACACATTTTATCGTAGATCCCAAAAATTACATGTCCCTGCCAGGTCCTTCTTCAGGGGCTATGTAATCCTGTCAGTCATAGTTCTTAAGTATGGTTTTGACAGATATTTGTCTCACATTGTTTAGATAGGAATAATCCTGCCTTGAGGAGGGGGATGGACTGGGATGGCTCCTCAAGGTCTCTGCTACACCTGCTTTTATGTGATTTCATTCTGTTCGCCCAGCTTAGTTAATACAAGTGAACTAGAAAATGGTGAAGCTTCAATAGTTCAGATGTACTGTGGGATTGCTGTAGTTTTCATTGCGCTGTGTAATACCTTTGCTAGGTTCCAAAAATTGGTTTTTGACATGATAAAGTGATGGTTGTGTGGAGACTGAGCAGAGGAAGATCATGTTTCTTACAAGGTGAAGTCTACCCAAGTGTTGTTCCTCAGAACTCTATTTACCATTTCATCTTCTCCCTGTTGAGGGCAGGAAAGGAGAGGATAAGAAATATCAGTTTCATTCACTGTATGCTGTTTCTTGCATTCCCTTTTCCCCCCCTGAGCATATCTCATTCTTCTTACACAGAGGCTCTGATGTAGTCTCACTTAGGCTTGCCAGTATTTGAAAGGCATGAAAAGGAACATTTGGGATAGAAAAATAGGTATGCAGGACCAGATCAGTAATGTTAGTTTTGCATATACCTGATTGCATGTAAATTAGGTGTATCTTAATGTATGTGTCAGAAACCTACAATATTTTGAGGTGTTCACGGAATGTCATGCATGTCTCCCTGAATTAGGTTTACTGAGACAGGGTGTTTGACGGTTATAAACAGCTAATTTTGTTGTTTGTATATGTTTGATATGGATGTATTCCCCCACTCACATGATAGTCAAAGAGAGACAAAAGCTATTCACATCTGGAGGGATCAAACCTCTAAGTGTTTAGGAGAAATCAACACTGAAAATTTACATTTTCATAGCTATTCATTTGGGTGCTGATGTGAGCTGCCAAGGCATGACCCAGGCACGGGAATTACTTTTTAAGGGAAATAATCTACTGAAATAGTATTTGATTAGAACTGGAATACTGGACTAGTAATCTTTGTCTGAAAGGAGGAAAATATTACTCCAGTCATAAATTGGTTAGTAAAGAGACCTGACTGGTCAAATGGCTACATTAGAAGGGCAGGAGATTATATGCATATTTGATCTCCAAGAATTCCATTGAAGAATGGAATTGGCCAGATAAGAACAAGTACTTAAGCCTTGCAATGAGAGAAAGTGGTTGTCTCAAGTTTCTTGGGCCTAAGGTGCTTTGACCCCTTAGCCAGTTGGCTGAGTGTGATAGGTTATACAAAAGCCCTAAGAGGGAGGTCAGAGGTAGCAGCTGTTTTCTAACCTGGTGACCTGAGAAATTAAAGTTGCATTCTTAAAAGTTAGGTAAAATCATTATTCCGTTATTTTTCTTTGTTTATTCTTACATCTCTTTCTTTATTGTAATATAAGAAAACCAGCAGAATTTTTATATGAAAGGGGCAGATATAAAACATTTCTGAGCAAATGACAAAACAAGGTTGTGATTTTTCTAGCTGGCAGAATCCCCTTTGCTAAGACCTAGCAAGACCTAGGTGAGGCAGGTAAAGCTGAGGTGCTGTAGATCAGAGACATGAACTTTGGAGTATTTCAGTGCATTAGTGATGAAGCAGCAGATGGCAGAGAGGGTTTGGGGGCTAACGGCACTCCTGAAGGTGTGAGAGCACCCTGGGATTATGTCTCAAAGGTGCATCTGACCAAATCTGGTGTCACAGTGGGCACATCTACACGTGAACAGTTACTGCACAGTAACTGAAAATTACTGCATAGTACAGCCATGTGTTTACACATGCACACGCATACTGGGCAGTAACTATGGCAGCTTTATCTACCTTTAGTCCTAAGTCAGCCCACACACAGTGTTACTGCACTGTCATGTCTGCATGTGTAGATGCTGGCATAAAAAATGCTTACTGCGCTTACTATACAGTAAATGCATTTGAATACATGCCCAGTGTGTCACAATATGTGTGCAGTTTTGCAAGCCTGAGTTATACCCTTTTAACACTGTGGAAGTAGGTTAGACTCTGGGGCTAGGGACAGACATTACACACAAACCTCTTTAAGTGACCAGAAACTGGTTTAAACCTGTAACAGAACAGACATTCAGTGAACATAAACCAGTTTGAAGACACTGGTTGAAGACCCTGGTTGAATGTAGTATCAGACTTGACTGATTTGGACCAAGCCTTCTGGTTTATGCAGTGTTGGTCCCAGACCCCTTTCTGGTTTAAGTTAAACCAGACTCCCCCAGCATCCCAGCATGTTCTCTGAGCTGGAAGGGGCTCTCTGCTCCACAGCAGAGCTGGTCGCTCCCCTCTGCTCCCTGGCTGGAGCTCAGCAGGGACTACAGGTGTCTGTCTGGCTTCTCCCTGCTCCCCCCCCATCCCCACTCCCTGCTAAGCAGTGGTGGATTTAAGGTTAATGGGGCCCTGTGTGGGGCTCTGTGTCCTGCCCCATAGCACGTCCACAGGGGAATTATCGTGGCACACTGGCCACTGGGGAGGGGCGGTGGCAAAATTTCCAGCCGGAACGGCTGAAAAAACCCACAACCTGCTGGCCGGGAGGGAGGTCCACAGATAAAATGTGGGAGGCTCTCTGGCCAGGGACCAGCCCCCACCCTCATCCACAGGTGGCAGTGTCTGCAGCGGGGCCCCCTGTCATTGCTTCATGGTAAATCCGCCACTGCTGCTAATCAGGGATTATTCCCCATCCCCTTTGCCTTATACAGACACCTCTCAGCATTAGCTAGCAAGCTGTATGCTGGCTATGGTCCACTGTGGCAGACAGGATAAAGGCAGAATCAGCAGGTAGCTGTTAATGTCCCTCTGTTGTTTTCTTAATGGGGTGATAAACACTGAGTTAGGAGATGATAAACAATGTGACATCAATTCAGTGCTGGGCTGGCAAGAAGTTGGGGGGAATCCCTCCCTAATCAGAGTGGAGCCTGGCCACGCCCTCCTCAGTTCAGCACTATGGAATGGAAGGGAGAGCTGCTGTAGCACCCCCAGCTTCTAGCCTGAGCTACTGCAGGCATGTATCTGGATTTCTGGGATGTCTATGCAGACTGATTCAGCCTAGCCAGATTAGACTAACCTGCAAAGATTGAATCAAATCAGGCTTAGGATTTTTGAATGTCCGTCCCTAGCCTGGGAGATTTTGTTGCTGCATCAAGAGGGGGAAATGAAAAAGAATTTTGCTCAAAAAATAGGAACATTTTCCTAATTAGGGATGATTGGCAGATGTGTTTTACATGCCTCTCTTTAAGTGAGATTGAGAAGTGCATAAGAGGCTTTTATGGTCTGGACCAGATGCTTACAGAGGAAAGCCATATCCTGGTCATACCTCCAATGTACAATTTTAAAACTATGGGGAAATTACTGAAAAGGCTAAATTGCCCACTGAAATGAATGGCAATTAATTTTTACCCAAGAGGAAAATGGGAAGCAGTTATAATGTTAGTATATATAATGCATTATTATGCCAACTTATCTCACAGAACATTGCAAAATATGTATAATAGCTTACAAATACAGTCTGCAGTACCAAGTTAATGAGTGAAAGCAAAAAGAAAACAATGAGGCTTCACTTTCCTAACAGATTGGAACCTGCTGAGGGGAGCATCCTGGAGGGACCAGATATGTCCTAGGATGGAACCAGACGGTTTAGAACATTAGATCTTTTCTCCCCCTTAAGACATCCTGAGCGAGGAGCGGGTATGGCTGGCTGTAGGATGGAAATATTGTCTTTGGAGGTTTATGTTAGTTGAATTTGGCATTCCAAATTGTACACAAAAGAGGTGGTTGCTGCTGGTTTTCTGATACCTCTGAAAATTAAACCACAAAGTTTAGTTCATAAGCCACTTGCAACAGCTCTGCTTAAATACTTCACAATAACAATATAAACCTTTAACATTCACAAAGTGCTTTGAGATCCTCCAATGAACATCTTCCAAAGTTTTTTATGAGAGTTCAGAAGATTACAGTCTTCAGTATATTTTTATTAGAAATAAAATGTTTTGGGTTTTTTTATATTACATTAGCCTGACAGCAAAACCTGGTGAGAATGGAACTCAGAAATATGGTGTGATGGTACAGGAGCTAAAAAATCATAGGGCTGCTGCTATACGCCACTTGGATGAATTTAGGATGATTTTAAAATTAAAGAGAATGCATATCAAGTAGCACTAGTGAGTCACTAGAAAGTGGATGACTCAAGTCATTGCTTTGAAATCCTGTGAGAAGTGTTAAATGACAGGCTCCCACAGCTTCAGTGCTGCAAATCTCTAGGTGACAAGAAGGGAGTTGAAATATCAGTATGATGAAGTGAAATTTAAATTACATTAGCTCTGTCAGGAACAATAAGTGAAACCTTTATAGATCGTCCGATTTCACAGTTACCCTTGAAATATCATACTAGAATCTTTCATTATAGCTTGCTTTTGGGTTGTCTTTGAATGGGAGAATAGCATTTTATACAATATACTAATTCTCTGAAATGTGTAGATGCTAGTCAAAGTGAGATTTTTTGGTGGGTTTTGATATTTAGGAGGCCTTTAACTGTGCACATAAACACGGGACCAAACACTGAAAAATACAAACATGCATGTAAACTGTCTTTTGACTAATTTGTAGAACAATGAACTATACTCATTTAATTGGTATGTCTATTGGTCTGTGTATTGTTGCCCCCTGCTGGATGGAATGAGATCTGTTCACTACTGTCATGTGCCCTACACTGTAGATTCACATTTTGTTCAAAGGTTAGGCATTTCTGTTTTGGTGTATAACCTAAGTACATCTATGAAATCTACAGGGCTCTAAGTTTGTTACAGTATGGGGGAGGGGGGGTTCTCCAGAATAATTAGTTATTAAGAGAGGGAAAAAGAGGGAACGGAAGTGGCATTTCTGATTCAGCTTTTTAAATAGAACATCAGAAGGCAATTTGGCTGAGATCACAAGTGCAAGGCTCCTGAAAGCTTTAAACCAGCAGCATAGGTAGAATGAATAGAAAGGGAAATAGCCACCCACTCAAGGCTTTTGTTGTTGGTGCCAATCTGAAATAATAATCTCAACCAAATCACCTTTCTTGTTGTCTACTTTGACTTGGGCTCACTCAGCATGATGTGAAGAATTCAAATTTAGGTCCTCTTGAATGTTCCTTTCTTCCTGAAGAGTGTGAGATTCGATATGCTGCAGAGACAGGGCACTCTGTAACCCTCAGGTAGGGAATGGTGATAATGTTTTATGTAATTCCTCAAGTGACAATGCCTTGCACAGGATTTCTAACAGTAACCAAGGGCATTATAACATTTAATAGATGCTGATTCAAGCCACAGGAAGCTATAAGAGCAGGGACTCTTCTTAGACTTAGACATTGCTCAGTTGGAACAGACAGCCTGGGCCAAGGCTAACCTGCCCACCCTGTAAGGGAGGGGGAGAGGGCTTGTGGGGGAAGTGCAAAGCATCCTGGGATGTTGGAGGACTGTGAGTTAACTTGAATCTGGAGGGGATCTGGAACAAGAGTTCAATAAACCGATTTAACCTAAATCAGTTAAGCCTGATACTACATCCAGCTAGGTTTATCTTAAAACTTATGAACTCCAAACTGTGTTACAGTTTTAGACTGGTTTCTGATCACTTATACTGGTTTATGTGTAATTTCTGTCTCTAGCCATAAGTTCATGGGTATGCAAATTAATTGCCATGAGGCAAGCTAGTGTATAAATGTATATGAATGAGCTACTCCATGGTTACTGCTTGTCTGTGAATAAATTTACACCATAGTAAATGCAAGAGAGTTTACCAACTTTAATTAAGGGGCAAGCTACAATACATCTACTGGGGAGGGAAGAGGGTAAGATCGTGCACATGGGCAGATACTGCAGGGGAGCTAATGTACCGTAAATTCACGGTAATGTATTTGTATGCCCGTACCCTAAGGCTCCTTTTGCCATGGAATCTCAGTGCCCGTTTCTGTACCCAGACATGAGTTCAATAGGTCCACGTTCAATTTTTGGAACTGTTTAGGTAGCAGTTTTGAGCCACTCACCCATGATACAAAGGTCAGCACCTACATGGCATTCAAGTTCAGTCACGTGCTTAACAAAACACTGAAAGTCTGGAGGTATCACAGTAATGACATCCTCACTGGTGGTTTATCTCAAAATGTAGGGCCCATTCCCGGAAGCTGCTCATCACCTATGAAAGAAAATCATAGTTAGAGATGAACAGTACCTCTAAGATCTTTTTTTTACAAAAACAGAATTAGGCAGGAAGGCAAAGGGATGCAAAATCAGTTGTGTCAAAGCAGATCTTTGAGCCATCTAGTTCAGACTTTGGTACTAGGTAAAAAAGAAGACTGGATAATGCACACCTATCTATGTCTTTGTACAGTGCTAATTGTGGAGACTGGAGTTAGAGCAATTCCTCTTGTGCCCCCGCAGTCTGCTGATCTCTTCCTTAACACATTGCTTGCTTCCAATTTATTGCTTTGCTACAGATTTCTTTGCCATATAAATTAATATGAATATTGTTCCTATTAAAATCTTCTGTGTGCTCCTTCAGACCATACATAAACTAGAAATGTACCCCAAAAATTACAATGACCTCACTGGCTACCAGCTAGTTGGCATTCCCTGGTACTGGCTAGTTTCAATAAATTCTTCTCTAAAGAAGTCTGCAATCAAAGCATTTCAGAAACTTCCAGCCTAGATGACTCCTACTCATTTACTATTCTTATCAAGCGCTATCTTGCAGTCAAGGATCACATGCAAAGCTTTTAGATTCTGTTCAGTTTGTCAGTATCTTAAGATGTCTTTCTTGCTTGTTTTATATTTAGAGCTGCATCTTCTGTTTATTAAGACATGCACGCTCCTTTTGTGAGGTAAAATGTAATAGTTAAAAACTAAAAGCTGTGGTATTCAGCTGCCTTGTTACGATGTTGAAGTTACTGCATGTTTTTATGTTCAAAGGTCAACTTTTTCCCATTTTTATTCTGGTGCTTCATAATAGGCAGACATTGCTACTGCAGTACAATCTCAGTACCTTCAGTCCCTTCACAGCCACAAACGGGCATTCGCTTCTCCTGGTGGAAATTTCAGCCTGCATCCTCCCTGCCCACCTTCTCCAAGCCAGGCTCTGGGGATGGATGGGGAGTAGCTTCCTCCACTCCTCTCCCAGTCTCCAGGAGCAGAGTGAAGGGAGTGCTAGGGAAAAGCCCTTAGCCTCTTCCCCAAGCTGGGCAGTTACTGGCTTGGGGTACAGGCAGGGGGCAACAGCAGCTGCTCCCTTCCCCTTTCAGACCAGTCTAGGAAGGGAGGGATACAGCAAGATAACCCCTTCTCACCCACTCTCCAGGCCCAGGACCCCAGTTTGGGGAGCAAGCAGGAAGTAAGGAGTGGCTGCTCCTCCCCTCTGCTCCCAGTGGCAGAGAGCCTGACTGGGAGCTGAGTGGAGGGAGCAACCCATCAAAACCTCTCAGGCTGGGGACTTCAGTCTGGGGATTGGCTTGTGAGCAGCAGGTGGCTTATGGTAGGGCTGGGAGCAGCTGCTCACCGTGGTTTCTCCACACTTGGGTGAACCTGATCTTGGGAAGTCATGGGGATCCTTTCCTGCCACTCAACTCCTCCTGGAGTCAGAAAGAGGCAAGTAGCAACTAACCCCATGCTCTCCCCAGATTGGGAGATGCAGTCTCAGGAAGGCATGGGAGCATTTTTCTGTCACTCAACTCCTCCTGGTACCTGAGAAGAATCAAGCAGTGGGAAAGTGCCAATTCATTTTCCCAGGAGTGACCTCTACTAGGTTAGAGATGTTTTATTTTTCTTCCAGAACAGCCATTTTCGTTCTAGGAGACAATGTGTTGAACACCACTACGTTCATGGTTTCTACTGGGACAGCTGTGATTCTACTGGCTGAAATGTAATGCCAGCATGTGGCCCATGATTATGTTCACTTTTACAGTTACATACATGCCTAAGTGCTATGCTGCACTGAACTTTTGTTTGCAGTAATAACTGGGAAATGTGTTGCAAACTTTTGAAATCTGCACCAATGAATAAGTAAACAAACACATTTGGAGGAGCAAGCCTACTGCATTACAAAATGGACTTCATTTATTTAACAAACTTGGTTTTGGTTTTCATAATTAATGATATTCTATAAGGTACTACTGAGTACAGGATGGGAAAGAAACAAGTCATTTGGGTGATAGGATAATAACCAAATTGATGGTAAAAAGATTTTAGTCTTTTGGAAGTATAAAAGTTTTGGGGCGGTTTTTTAACATTGGTTAACATGCTTCTGAAACCATTAAGAGGGAGTGAGTGAACATTTAGTAGACACACACAGAAAGTTTACTTCTTTTTGGAAAGATTTTGGGAGTATGACAGACTGAACTCTATGATTTTTTTTAAAAAAGGTCAAGAGAAAAACTATGAAACTATACAAAGAGCTCAATGTAGCACTCTGAATATAGACCAGTATGTTTGAAGAAAATCTTAGACACTATATCAAAGAGATAAATTGGGAGGCCATATGGAAAAAAGCAGTCTGATTTAAGGAAAGTCAGAATGAATTCAGGCAGAAGAGGTCATTCATGCCAAACCTCCTAGATTTCTTTGAAGATCTGGCTGCCACAATGCAGTGGGTGCTAGTAGGCTTAACATTGTGTCTCAGGCTACACAGGAGCTAGTAAAATCAAAATACTCAGTAGCCACATCAATACAAGACACTGACTGAGCAGTTGTTACTGTGCAGTCATTTAGTACTTGTATAAGCAAGTATGAAATGACTGCACAGTAACCGGAGGTACTGTGTAGTATTGGTGCCAAACAGCTTTTAGGTGACACTGACTGCACAGTAGCTCATTACTACTGCTCAGTAGCATCGCATCACATTTCCTGCCATGCAGTGCTACTGCACATTAGTAATGAGCTACTGAGCAATCAACGTCTCATGTAGACGTGGCCACTAGTGACACATATAATGCTGAATCAATGGTATAACTAGACCAGGGTGCCTTGGGCAGCTGACTAGAGTGCCATCTTGGGGAATAAGTGTGGGGGGGAGGAAACAAAATGGCCACCACTACAACCACATGATTACACCAGTGGTGTAGTGGCAACTGGAAGTTGCCACTGCCCTTATGTGTGGTAGCTCCCCCAGGTACCTAGGCCCTGGGCCACAGTATTATGCCTCTGTGCTGAATTCTGTCAATCATGCCTACACTGTATGACTATTCACATACTATTGACCAAACTCCGTAAATCTTGTTCCAGCCTGAATATAGCTCAGTTTAAAACCTGGGGACTATCTATCCTTTTGATCAGGGGTGCTCACCCTCCAATCTGTGGACTAAATGTGGCCTGCAGAGCCTTGCATCTGGCTCCCCATGGATCAGGAAATTTGGTGCCAGGGGAGCAGTGGCCATTAATACAAACCCCAAGCTGTGAATTCCAAATTCCTGAACCCCAAGCCTTGTGTGTGTGGTCATGGCTGGGCCAGGCCATGAAACCTTCCCCATTGGGGTCCAGGCCATGCCCTGCCCCTCTGGATCACCACCAGGATGCACTCCCTGGATCACCACCAGGATGCACTGTGGGGCCAGGTTGGGGCTTGGCCATGCTCACTTCCCCCCATGGCATCAGGGTGGGCTGGCCCACACCCTCTTCCCTCCCCACAGGGCTGGGTTGGGGCCTGGCCATACTGCCTTTCCTGCAGGCCTTGGCCATGCCCCCTTCCTTCTCAGTGTGGCTGGGCCATGCCCCCTTCCTCTCATGGAAATGGGTTGGGGCCTGACCATGCCCCCCTGCAGAGCCAGATCACGCCCCCTTCTTTCTCCATGGGGGACCCCCTTCTCTCTCCCATGAAGCTCTTTTTCCCTGCAGGACTGCAATGGGGCCAGTCTGCCCCTAGCCCCACTCCATGCAGGCACTGGATTTGGAACACCAGCCTGAATCAGGCCCACAGAGAGGAGTGGGCACTGCCAGTTGGGTCCACTGGACCAAATGGTTGAGCGCTCCTGATTTTCTAATTCTCATTGGGCATCTGGAAGCAATAAGTTAACCAAAAACTATTTTTGAGCGTATTCTTCATTAGTTATGCGACTAGGACAATGGAGATGCAATACATTTCTAGTGACAAATACACTCTTATACTACCACAAAAGTGAATGTTCAGGCATTCAAGTGTTCTTTTTTCACAGGAAAAAAAACATGGCAGTTCCACAAAGGACTGTTAGTTCTTTTGAACAGCAGCTTTTCAGCATCACAGTGATTTCTAGCACCAAATGTAATGCCTGTCCACTTACGTGTAGTATCACAGGGCATGCCTTGGTCCTCCAGCATCCCAGGAGGCTCTGCTCCTCACTCCTCCCTTCCATGGCTTATTATGTGGAGACATTATGTGGTTATGACTTTCAGTTGTTTTCACCAATCTGGGCTGGATCTGAACTGGAGTCCTAAAAGTGAAGGCTGTGGGCCTTCTCTCTACATGGCTTTACACTTTCATGAAGTCAACAAAATAGTTTTAGTTTGATTGTTACTAGGAGAAGTCTCGTAAAATTTTGGAGTCCTACATTTTTCCTAGCTATTGACTTTTTATGGGATATTACTACATTCAGTAGAAAGGCAAGCCTGTTTCATGATGGTCATGTGTTTAACAAGCTGATATCTGAACAGTAGCCTCCTTAAAAATTAGATCTACCAGAGTTGTCCAGTGTTATTAATGATGTAACAGCTACAGACATGCTGAATATAAATATCAGTATCCCACATTGTTTTATGACAGCTAAAATAGTGTATGGAATAATTCATTTGCTCTAGGAAAACTTTTCAGGGCATGTTATGTCTTTGTTTCAGGGCTTGATAATGACTGTGTCCTGGGTGTTCTGAATGCACCAGCAACTACTGCTCTACCTGCATTTCAGTTCCACATAAGCCTCAATAGTTATTTCATGAAAAATTACTTTCTAATTAAGTTGCACAGTGGTAGAGCTAGTGCAAGCTGTACTGAGAAGAGGATGCCACTTTCAAATCAGCTCCAGAAGCTCAGCAGGGTTTTGAGCAAATTGAATAAATGGCTGTTCACAGCCCAATGCTCTGAATGTTTGACCTCTTGCTACCAACTACAGTATTTTCTGGTGAAGGTTACCCTGTCTACCTTACAAATACAACTCTATCATCAAACCAATTACAGTATGCTTGTGCCCAAATCAGGTTGCAATGCAGGTTCCAATTTGAATGGTAAATAGAAACATAGTTGTGCTTTATAACCCGGAGCCATTCTTTTTTCAGCAGAACTATTGTGTATTGTATTGTACTCAGTACAACCTGGGGACCTT